TTGTATGCTTAGTCATTTGTTGAATGACTAAGTTCTGAGCCTTATACTAGGAAGAAAGTGAATGAGTGAAGCTAATAAGTGAATGCACAGGTAATGAGGAAAGTGCGGAGAGGCAAGTCTCTGGATGGTGATAGGAAAGTTAAGATAAGGGTGTGCCTTATCTTATCTACCGGGGTGCAACGTAGTGAAAGGAGAAGAGGTAGAGGTCAGGAAACACATTATAAAAAAGGAAAGTTGAGTATTTAAGGATGAGTTGATATCAGATGCTTACTGGAGAAAGGTGACACAGAAGAGAGTATTCTAGGCAAGGGAAACAATGTGTACAGGAGCAAAAGCATGGAGACCTGAGGGACATTGTCATACACAGGGCACTGAGAGAGTATCATGGTGATGAAGACGACAGGAAAGATTCAAGAAACCTTAGGGAGTAGAGTAGGCTAGGCATATGACTGAGTGAATGTGCAGCGATTTAGAGAATTTCTCAGGATGACTCCTGGTTTTAGAGTTTGAGGGCCTGATTGAATGGTGGTGCCATTTACAAGATAAGGACAATAAGAAAAAATGTTGGATGAGAGGGTGAAGTTGATGAGTTCCATTTTTAGACTTGTCGAGTTTCAAGTTCTCATGATGCACACAAGCTGAAACATCTGGGAGGCAGTCTAAAACACTGACATAGAACTCAGGCAAGAGGTCTGAATCACGCTATAAAATTGAGATATACCAGTGGGTGAGAACTTGAGAATTTGGGTGAAGATAAGTTTGCACAGGAAGAATGTAAAAAGAAGAGATAATGATCAAAAGTAGAATCCTTAAAACAAACAAACAAAAAAGCAAAAACAAAATATTGAGGAGGTGGGCAGAATGTGTGAGGAAGAATGAGAAAGAGTAGCTTGAAAGGAAGGATAAGCAGCGAGCCATCGGAGGAGTGAGGCTGAAGTAGAAGAGAATGATCAAGTGTCTCCTGCAGCACAGGAATCAAATGGATAATGATAAAGTGTCCACTGGATTTAGCGGAAGGCATTATGCCCATCGGAATAAAAGTTTCAAAGAAATAGTGGGAGTAAAATGTGGCTTGAAGACTGACTGGTAAATGAGGAAGTGTAGACTGTTTTTTTAAAGCAGCATGACTGAACAATGAGAGAGGGGGTGATAAGTTATAAATAGCAAGGGAGTAGGACAAAGCTGTAAAACTAACCAAACAAGTTAACAAGGAAACAACATGCAGAACTCGCCACAGAAATTCCCACTCTGGTAATTCTCCACCAGTAGCTGATTCAAGCATACATTTCTAAAAGAGTTAATTCTAGATGCCAAACTTTAAGAATACAGACTTTTTCATTATCATTCATATTCTGTAGTTATGGCTTTGTTGTAATATATTTAGATGTGATGTATTATTTAACTTCTATAATACATCATATCTTTAAAAATGGTGGGAAAACAATGATGTATAAATTCACCAACATTAAAATATATGGTTCAAAAGCATTTTCCAATGACATAGTAAATTCCAAATTACTGAGATCTAGCCATGTTCCATATTATTTTCTGAAAACACACTAAATATAAGACAACTTATCCAAATCATCCTCTAAAATGATTTTCTTAACCTTTGGAGTGATTAAATGGATAATTTTATAATCCTGTGCTTAAATTGAGGAGGTTACATTGTCACACCTAGGAAATATTTACTGTAGTCTAAAATCCTATTACAATAAATGTTTTTAAAGTACGTGGCATATACTAATAATAATGATGGTTTATCAAAAAGCTAACTTCCCTCAAACAATCAAGATATAGGATTTAGTTTATATCCATTACTTTAGTGTTGGCCAGCTGGCTTTCAATGAGAGAAAGATTTAGACATCTAAACTATCTTTTTCATATTTGGGTAATGAAACAAACTTGAAGAAATTGCACTTTTTTTTTGTGCTCTATAGTGCAGAAGGTGGTGACTAAATAATTAACTCAATATTAAAATGTTACGGTAGAGAAAATTTTGGTTCCATACCTTTTTTTGTTTACTGTGACACACCCCAAAAGAAAGTCCCCAAGGTAACTGCCAAATCTTATCATCATTTAGTAACTTTTGGCGACATACCAACTGGTTAAAGGTTGGTAACATAAACAGAGCTCATGTGGGTATGTGTTCCACTGTACTCAGGAATCCAGGGCTTGATTCCTAACGGGGTATCCTTTTGGAGTACAGGAAACTTCCACAGAAGAAGAGATAATCAAACTCAGGCATCTCTGCAACAAAATCATTCCGATGTCTCTAACCAGGCAGGAGAGCAAGTGACAACTTGAAAGTTATTAAGGATAATTAACTATAGAAAATAAAGATATTTTACTATTAAACAGATGAATGTCCTTGAATCTTATAATAGAGACCATCTATTATTTATGAGTCTGGATTTGTGGGTCATATTCTCACAGGTAAACATTACGTATGGGAAGATAGTAAGTGTTACTAGAACAATAATCTGTCTACCATAGCACCCACCTATTAGCCCATTGTGGAAACTCAATACTTGTTCAACAAAATAATAAATGATTTCATTAATACTATTATTTTCAGTAAATGCTAAGCTAGAGTAAACATAATCCATTCTGAATTCCAAAATTTTTGAAACTGTTGCAAGATATTTCATTATAGAGCCATACCATCTTATACATTATGAAGTTCAATTAGTGTAGTAAAAAGGACGTGACCTAGGAGTAAAAAAAAAAACAATTTCTATCCCAGATCACCACTCCACTTGTATTAATGCAAATGACTTGTTCTCACCTTCTAAGGCTTTTTCTCCTCTTGTGAAACTGGGATGATAATTGCTGTTTCCAGTTGTGACTATGTATCAGATGAGACTGAATCATAGCCAGCTAAGGTCAGAAATGTCATTAGAAACCAGAGTCAAGATGAAAAAAATAAATAAATCAGGAAGTTAAGGCCTGGAGAGGTTAACGACTTGCTCAAGATCAAAGAGTGGGTATTTGGAGAGCCGAACTGAACACTATTCAGGATAAAGAAGCTATTACATTTGTAGAGCAATTATATTACTCATAAAAAGTTTTTTTGTTGTTGTTTTTTTTTTTTAGAAAAATATTTTCAAGTAATGGCAGATGGCAGTGATTAATTATATTAATTATGTTATCACTGGGAAGTATCTCTCATTTAGGGGCCCTAGAGATCATCTAATCAAACACCTGATTTTAACGGATAAGAATCTGAGATTATAGTAAACTTGGATGCAAACTGAGGTCCCCTTTCTCTATGAAAAATACCATCTTATAAGTAAAAGTACTTTACAAAGGGATAAAGGGCTTTAAAGTGTAAGTGGTTAAGATGAAATTTGAGATAGGCAATTAATTATTGTGTATAGGCTTTGCGAGACTCTGAATGTTGTAAGTGTTTTTGGAACTATGGGGCTTGATGACACATGTGGTTATTTACTTACAGTGATGGCTGCAGGGGAACGAAGGGGTGGAAAAGCATTTGTTTTCTGCCTTGATCTGAGGGTCAGAACTTAAATTTGGTTAGGGGAACAGGTTAACATTTAAAGTTGAAAAGGACTTTTTCATGAAATTTATTGTGAGATTCAGGGCAAGAGTACTGTCATTTTGGTTGCAGATGTCTAAGTGTGACACTGTCAATTGTACTTTGGGCATTATGATCTGCACATAAGCTAGTGTGATCCAAGAAAGCAGCTGGATTATATATTAATGGTAATAAAATAGTATGTGTACCCTTATTTAGGGAAATCAATAAAGTTTACAGCTTGGGGTCATTTTCCAAACCATTAATAACACATTTAATCTTTGTGCTGTTGCTAAATTAATATTGCTTAAACAGAACTTTGAAGCTTCATTTTCAAAATCTTTAGTGTCCCTTTTCTATGCATATGGAATGAACTCTTCTCACTTCTGTCTGATGCTTTCCCCAAAAATACTTCTCAAAAGAGAGGCAATAAAACAAATGCTCTGGTGGGAATCAGACATACTGTACCGAGTGTCTAATCCTGGCTTCACCATTGGTGACCGTGCAACCCTGAGTAAGTCCCACAGCCACTTCAAGCCTCATGCTAACTGAAGCAATACAGGTCAAATCAAGTGTCCGTATAACACTAGACCCAGAAATGTTAGGGATGGCGAGTAGAATGCTGATGTATGGGATGTAATGAGAATGATGATCGTGAGAAAAAAGGAGAAGGCCATCATAAACGTGCTCTCCACTTTCTTGCCTTCTCTGCAATTGCACATGGGTTTTCAGTGGTAGAAAATGCCTTTTATTTCTACTTTTAAAACCTTACAAAGTTGTAAAGACACAACTTAAATTCAACCTACTAGAGTTTTGCAATAATACTTCCTTGTCACAATAATAATTTAGTTTACTTGACATTAGAGAGGCCTCTTTCTTTTCCTGTAATAAAACATAAGTCAGATATAATACATTGTTGTTTATCCTGTTAAGATAATACTTGATATTTCTACCTGTGCTTGTTCTTCTAATAACCCTAAGATAATTAAAAAGAGCGAAATAGTATGTTGTGTGTGTGTATTGCTCAAAACTCTTCAGGCAGGCTGAACATGGACTTATACTGTGTTCATTTGAAATTCTAGAACCTTTGCTTTCTCGAGAAATCAATTTTCCCCTCAAACAATGTTTTCCCACACACCATTAAAAACAAAAATAATTAGAGGAAGCTCTGTTCACAGAGAAGGGGAAATATATTAAAAATTATTCAAGTTCTGTGCTATAGTAGAAAGAACTAAATCGCTATTCCATTCTAAATATATCGAAAGAAAATAAAAATTTTGAAGGCCCTCTTTATATGTCATTTAAATACTAGCCAATTACTCACATGATATGATTGCATCTCACATAAACATGACCTCTTACCAGTGTGTAGAAAAAGTGATTATCTTTCATGACATATACATCATATTTGATCTAAAGACAATCTACTTTCCTTTACATAGCTACATGTGTCTATAAAACTTACAGTGCCAAGGTCAATGATGAAGCAGTCACCCTTGTTGAAACTGTCCCAGCTGAGGGGAACTTCCGTGGCCCTGACCACTCTCCGGCCTTTGACATGCAGGAGTCTCTGGGCGGTCAAGTCATTTGTGAGAACATGATTTAGTCCAGATGCCACACCTCCAGCCTGATCGGTGGGAGAAAAACAGAAAACAAAACAAATGAGACTTCAAACTAGACACAGCCATGTATAAAACCAGATATTAGTGCCAAAACTGCCTGTCAAGCCAAGATAAAATAGCCACCTCAAAGCATGTGAAAAATTTAAAATGAGAATTTTTTGGCTAATCAACAATTTTTTAAAAAAATGTTTAGGCTCTTTGTCCTTCCAATTTCAACCATTCAGTTTAATATTGCAAATATTTACTGAGAAACTTCAGTTGTATAAAACGTGATATATAAACAAAAAGAAGCTGTAACTCTTGTCTTTTGGGAACTAATTATTCTCAAGTCATGGAGTGAGAAGGCAGACAAAGATTTTAAGAAAGAAGACAACGGGAGGCTGAAGGAGAGTCCGAGGTAACAAGTCAGAGGTAACAGATGAGGAGTGCCCAGAGAATGAGGCACCCAAAGTGCCCACTGTCACAGTGTCAGACAGAGAAGGGAAGTTAACAGTGAGCCACGTATGGGCTGCTACTATTTATGGTCCTTGCTTTCACAATAAAAAAAAAAATCACCTCTCTTATTTACTTTTTGGTAAAAAGTTTACTAAATATGCCAGGTCTGGGTGTTCATAATTTAAATTAAGAGAGATACAGTATCTTGGTTGCACATCTCCAACCAAAAACAAAACAAAACACCCAAAACAAAAATACAACCTCTTTAAGAAATGATGAAGGAAAATTATTAACTGTATCAAGTACAGTACTTCTTCTTGAATTATTTAAAGTCAACTTTTATCTTTTTTTCCTAATTAAATCTAGGAACAATAATCTTTACTTATTTCCACAATTACTTATGAGGTAATGTGCATAATAAAGATGCAGTATAAACAAATCTTAGTTATTTATTGATCAAAGGTCTCCTATAATATGGTAAGAAAAATCATCAGTATAAAAAACCTATAAAATAATTCAACTTTCAAATTTATTACATAAGCATATACGGTGAATCTAAAAAAGGAGGTTAAGATGCATATGTAATCATTAGCACATTCTTTATATTTCCATTAACTTAAAATTTTCCCCATTCTCCAGGAAAAGGCCCTCATGAATAGTTTTTGACTAGGTTTGAATAGGTTTTGTTAGTATGAGCTAAATGTTGACCTCTGGATAATTATAACCACAAAATTTCAGAAATATATAATTCCCCAGTCCACAATTTTACAAAGATTGCCATATTTCTCCACTGAACGAAGTATTATATAATAAAAATAAATACAAGTCTTCATCTGTATACTACTGTTGTTCTTGGTCATTTCAGTTTTTTTTCAATAAGTATATTGTAATCTAATGAAAAAAAAGTATAGGAACACTGTAATCTGAAAAAGTTCTAAAATACAGAATAGACTTAGACTGAGAATACATATACAACATTTAGGCTAATTCATATGGTGAAACATCAGGGTGGTATATAGTCTATACACATTTAACAATATTTTAAAAACTAATTTTGTCTTTAATATTTGATGCCAAAAATGCACGCATGCATGCACACGAACACACACACAAACATTAAGTTTCATACACGTCTGTATCAAACAGTAAGTAATTCTGTGAATATCATTTGAATCAACTCTAGAAACTCTCTGCCTCTACCTAGTCTACAGAATGAAAACAGGGTGGATGTTTTCATTCAACAACAAGGTCCTCTAAATTAGTGGCACCATAAGTACAGTTTTGCGGGCCAAAAGATGTCTGATTGTTGCTATTTACAATCATGGCTTAAGGCTGGGTCTTCTTGACCTTGGGAAAGGTGTGATTAACCAGAGATTTAATATAAGGGAGCAGTGTAAGTAACAGTCCTCTATAACCTTTTCCTAAAATACCTCACAGAGAAAAATCTGAAGTCAATGGAATGACGTGAGAAGATGATCTTAATGTCTCCTAGCTGAATCTTTACATTACATATGACAACTAAATATGCTTGTTGCTGACTTGGTAACAGTAGGCTTTTGCCCATTCCAAGTAGACATAAAAAATTTGTCCTGACTATTGAACCATTTATCTATGTTGAGAGCATTGTAGTATAATAATTACCAGCTTAGGCACTGGAGTCAGATGGTCACGCAGACACATACCAGCTATTAGGCCTTGTCAAGTTACAGTCTCTCTAAGCTTCTGTTTACTTATTTTAATAGCATGATGATAGAAACTGCACCACAGGGTTGTTGTTTGGATTAGAAGAAATACTATACATGAACTGCTTAGCACATCCTTATAAAGATGAAATTAAGTATAACATAATAGTCTTTGCTATTCTGGGTGGTTATTTCTGCTTCTACATTTCCTATCAAGTATTGTTGTAACTGTATACACTGTTTGCTCAATGTCACTAATAATAAGATAGAGAACTGATTTTTTTGCCGATAAATTTAACCTCCATTTGCAAACATCCTCTTTCTAAAAGATGCTGATTTGTGTTAGTTTTAATGTTGATAATTAGAAAATAATTATCTACTAATTATAAAATTACTTTATCATATCCATTTTTAAATATGTATCCCAAAGTTTGATTTCAGAAGTCCTGTGAACCAGGATTAATAGTAATGTAAATTCCTACTGATTTTGTATGTACTATGTAGGTATTTTATTATCTCATTTATTCCTCAATCCTTATACCCACTGTGTATTCGAGAAAAAGGCACAAAATTTATATACTTGCCCTGAGGGAAACAAGTCATATGTGACAAAAATGGGTTTATAATGATCATTTTAGTAACTAGCTTATTAGAAACGTTGAGTTCATTGACATAAAGGAGGTTTCAGGATCATTTTACATAAATTGTAGGAATGCATGTGAATTAAATAAAATGAGAGCTAATAATTTCATATTTAGGGCAGTTGATAGTCTAGAGTGAAAAAACGATTTCAAGAGAGAGAGGAGAACATATAAATGTTTTGTCCTGACCTCAATGGCATCACAAAATATTCAACTAATTCTCTGATCAGGTAAGAGTAGAAATAAACCCTGGCATTGTAGTAGGCACATTTCATATATACTCAGAACTCTAGTTCAGCTCTGGGGTCTTAGGTCTTCACTAGACTAATATTCTTGAGGGGTGAAGTAGTGAGGTCTGCAGAACATCTACTGGAGCAAGTTTGATTTTGAAAAGTATTGTTTCTAGAATGTTTGTCCAGGAAGGGTATTCCTCACACTTCATCTGAACCCTCATGGGGCAGGCGGGATTGTGAAGGATATAAAGGGTCACTAGGAGATTTTCAGAATAAAGTCATCTTTTACTGAAAATGCATTACAGGACTAGAACTATTTAACTATTTGTTTTTGTTTTCTGACATAAGCCATTTGATGATTAGTTTCAAACCAATACATATAAACAGTGTGTATATGTGTGTGTGTGCGCCAATGTATTAGCATTTAAATTTGTGAGATTCGACCATACATGTCTTCAATTCATTTGTATTGTTTCCAAGATTAAATCGTACTATATGGGGAATATGTGTATAGTTCTTTGTATTAACTGTAGTTATAATTGTTATAAATGCTATATTAAGATATTCCAGAATAATTGAGATTCTCAAGTCATGGTTACTTGTAGCAAATTCAGAGATTCTCTAGAATAGCAAAACAAAAACTACTGATTCTCAATTTACCAATATTGAAGTAACTTAATTTTAATAATTCTTTGGGAAAATACAACTGAAAGCTCTTAACTTTATTAAAAATTAACTATTAAATGAAATCAAGAATAGTTCACATATTGCCCTATACATTCCATAAACATTTGTTGAGTACCTATACTCAAAACAGGTACTGTAAACAAAACAGATTAAAACAAAAACAAAAACAAAAACTCTGCCCTTAAAGTACTTTTGTTCTATGAAGACATGAGGTATGGATGGATAGGAAGAGAAAGAAGATCATAACAGAAATCGTTTGCGAGAACCACTTACCTTGTATTTTAGACCTCCTTTGAAATAGCCAACAAAATCAGTAGACTCACAGCCTTGAAGTTCTCTATTCTGCACTGGCTTGCCACCCAAATAGTCGTCCATCTGAACAGTAAAGATGGCAGCTGCTGTGCTTTCATCCTGAGTACACTCCTTTCCTGAAACAGAAAATGACAGAGCCTCATTTATCAAGCAAGGAAAAGGATTAAGGTCGAGTTTCTGATATAAAAAATTTCAGAAATTTTCTTTGAATTATATATCAACACAACAAATCATCAACAGAATAATCTTTTAGCAGAAATGGTGAAATATAAAATATTATTTTTACACTAACAGAATTATTTTGTTCATGCTTTCCAATTCTTAAAAAGAAATACCATTGTCATAATATTCTCAGGAAGATACAATGATATATTCTAGTAAGATTCAGATTCATTTGGTAGTCAATAAGATCAGGCTATAAAAACATTTTACAATTGTTTTAGTCTTTATTAGCATTAATCTGTAAGCATCAAATATGATACTATTTGTGAGAAATATGTACATCATAAGCAATAGCTAAACAACTTCTGAAAAGCAAATGGTTTTTAGAATGAGAAATGTATGGAACTTGACCTTACCCTAATTTTGAGTTCCAGTGACCCACTTCACTACTTCACTAGGGATAATGTTCTCCGAAGGAAATAAGAAAGTAATGCAACCAGCATGCTAACATCTATTGAATGTCAATGTATGTAGTACTATCCCAGAAATTTAAGACACAAGTGACATTCAATTTTCACAATTCTAACACAGATCACATCCAGACAACCTCACTGAGGTTGAAATACTAATTCTGAAGAAACAACATTTTTAGTGTATGTGAAAATCAGATCCAGGACCATCCTGAGGGGACTTCAAATAAGACACTTCAAAACTCTTAATACATCTGAACTGTGTAAAAATCATAAATGATTCTAGAAATAAAAATAGCAAACATTTACACTTTATAGTACCCTCGCTATGGGCCAGAACCTGTGCTAGTGTTTTATCTGAATGACCTCATTTAATTTTCAAGCAACTCCTTGCAGCAGAAACTATTTCCTACTATGCTACGACAAAGGAAATGGATGCTTAGAGAAGCTGAATAACTTCTCTGGGGTCATAAAGTTGACCTTTGGAAGACTGTGACTCAGCCAGGTTTCTATGACTCTGAAGCGCAGGCTCTTAGAAACTACAATACTACAATTATATATGTATGTATGTATGTATACACACACACACACACACACACACACACACACTTGGATTCTCAGCTGTAAAATTTTGTGGTCATAGGCATATGTTATTTTCCTCCATGGATAACTGATGCATAAAAGTTTAGAAGCTGTAGCAGTACCATAGTTCACCTGAAAACCCAGTTCAGAATATTCACCAAAGGTGAAGAAAGGACATCAGTCAGCTATACTGAAGAAAGAAATGGACTTCTTTAAAAATCCGCCCTCACTTTCAAAGGGGGACCCGGGTATCAAATATATTCTCAGTAGCTACAAGAGGATTTGACATGATATAAATTTTGTAAACTTACTGTGGTCAAAGAAAATTATGTCACACACACAAAAAAAACACAGATATAATTTTGCAGTCCAAAATAACTTTAGTGTCATTCTTCTGCCCATTCTTCCATCCATAAAGGCATAGATGTAGATTATACAGAGATGCTTTAAAAGGGAAACTTAAATCAAGGTTAATATCAAAGGTATTAGGGATGATGTATTTGGCATAAACATTCTTGAGTACAAGTTGAAACCCGAATCTCTTCAGGTAGATATAAACGAACAGGCATGCAATTAATGAATTAATTTAAATTAGAAGTAAGTTAAATTATGTTTGTTGATGTTTATGTACTGTGCTACATTAGGGAATACCAATATGACTAAATTGGTCCTTGTTCTAAAGAAGGAGTCCTCAACCCCAGGGCTGTGGACCGGTACATGTCCATGGGCGTTAGGAACTGGGCCACTCAGGCAGGAGAGGGAGTGAAGCTTCATCTGTATTTGCAGCTGCTCCCCAGCACTAGCATCACCTCCTCCGCTTCACCTTAGATCATCAGGCATTAGATTCTTATAGGAGCACTGGTTCCTGGTGCCAAAAAGGGGACCGCTGCTCTAAAGAGACTAAAAGGTTTTAATGAAGCCAATATCAGCCTTTGAATGTCAAAACTAGAATCAAATTCAGCTGTATCATGATAAAATTTTAGCACATGCTCAGAAATTTTCTGTATGAACTCTGCTTCACTTATTTTCACTATGCTAATTTTACTGATGTCTTTCATGATATGTTGTTTTGTGTTGTGTTATTTTATGTTACATTATTTAATATTTGTATATATGCTGTAAATTTCCTAAAATTGTTTTGGGGATGTGGTGTTTTATATACAAAACATAGATTGAAAGGGAGATTTGATAACTAGGTTAATCAAGCATCCATTCATGATAAAAACTTTTGCCAAGATAGGAATACAGGGGAACATCCTCAATTTGTTCATCTACAAAAACATACAGCTAACATAATCCTTAATGGTGAAACACTGAATGCTTTCTTACTAAAATCAGGAACAAGGCAAGGATGTCTACTCTTACTATTAATCAACATCATAAAGGAATTTCTAACCACTGCAATAAGAAAAAAGAACATACAGATTGAAAAGAGAATAAAAATGTTTCTATTGTTTCTATTTGGAGATGACAGAATCATCTACATAGAAAATCCTAAGGAATCTATAAAATAAAAAATAAAAAAAAAAGTTTCCCAGAATAAGTGTATTCAGCAAGATAGTAGGGTAAAGATGAGTCAATAACAAAAGGCAGTCTCATTTTTATATAGAAACAGTGAACATTCAGAAATTGAAGTTAAAAGCACAATACCATTTATGATCACCCCCCAAAACTGAAATACTAAGGTATATACTTAACGAAACAGGTAGACGATTAAAAATTACAAGTCCTGATGAAAAGAATCAAAGACCTTAATAAATTTACAGATATAGTTTTCATGGATTGTAAGACTCAATACAATAAACATGTCAATTTTCCCCAAAAAACAATCTACAGGCTTAATGCTATTCCTATCAAAATCACAGCAAGGTTTATTATAGATTATACAAGTTTATTATAAAATTTATCTGAAAAGGCACAGGGCCTAGAATAGGTAAAACAATCTTGACCAAAAAAAAAAAAAAGTTAGGAAGAATAACTGTTATTTGATATTAATATTCAGTATACAGCTATAGTAATTAAGAGTCTACCACAGAGAAGTTATACCATAAATGTTTGTTGTTTTCAAACATATTTTTGTAAAGTTTAAAAATGACAAGGAGAAATGGTGAGGGTGGGATTTTTTTGTAGCATAGGTCTGGGATGTGACAGAGAGTAGATTTATCATCCAGTCCTGACCATAGACACGATGCTATAAGTACCCAGAAAGAGAGGGTGGATGCATTTAAACCGCTAGGTACAAAGCTGATATTTTGTTGTTGTCTGTTTGTTTTTAGGAAGGACCAATACAAATTCTTACTTTGTAAATAAAAAGAAAAATAGTAAAATGAAATAATCTGAGATATGCAAGGGTATTATGGAAAGACACTGAGGGAGAGACCAGGAAAGATGACTCTCTCTACTCTCCTATTTTATGTACCACTTCTTCCTTTTCCCCTTTCTTCCTCATACTAGGCTTATTTCTTCATTTCTACCCTATGTGCCTTTTTCATCCCAGTTTGATTTTAACTTCTCTTTTTCACACCTTCCTCCCAATTGATATTTTTTTAGTCAAACTTACTTTTTCCTTGAACTTTCAGCTCTCCCTCTTAAAACTCTCTCAATCTGTCTGATTAATCCTCATGAATTCATCTGAATTTAGATCTTTAAGTAGAATATTTTAGATGCAATCCAGCGTGCTTCAGGGAACAGAAGTAGGAAGAGCTGCTGAACAATTCCATCTAAAAGCCTGTTGACTATTTTAGTCTAAACTTTTCCATGTTCCCCATGATTTTCTCTTAACACAAAATGGTTCCCAATTATCCTCATTTTCCTTTTTATGCAGGTATCTCTGATTACCCTAACCACAGCCACTGAGTGTCTCTTTCACAGTGCTTATCATATTTTACCTGTGTTGCATCATGTTTTGCTTTATTGTACCTTTGAGATTATAAACTTTCAGAAAGGTTCATAAATTATTCATATGTAAAAATGCCTTATAAAATTCTGGGCACACTGAATAATCGCTGAAGAAATTAACTTATTAATTAACACACTATTAACTTTAGTTTTAGCAGATCTTTAAGACAATGTTTCTGCCCAAAGCATTTTCTATTACATTTTTTTAAATTAGTGAGCACTAAATGAATAATTAAGAGTTAATTATGAGTCTCTGTAAACCCTAAAAAACATAGTGCTTAAATACCTTATTTGAATGAGAATGAAACTATTGAGTTCAAAAACTGTTGAAAGCTCTTGCAATCTTCTGACAAAGTCAAACTCAGCTGTTGTCTACAGCAAGATATGAAGTTCTTTCACATTTCAAGTCACCAAAATGAAAAATGTAACATTTCAGAGACTTTTATTCATTCCGGATCCAAGTTTTGGATAGAAAGACCAAGGTGAGGACATTATTATTATATCTGGCATCGTTCATTCATGAACAGGGTTATATATTATGGTTTCAGTGTTTTCAGGTATAAAATATAAATAGATCACTATACTAGGAATAGTGAATCACGTTACAATGGGAAACCAAAGTGAGTTTGGAACTCAGCTTCAACATCTTCAAGCAAGCACAACATTTTAATATCAAAAGCTGTAATGAAAACAGTCTTGCCTTCCTCTATATATTTGCCATTTGAAGTGTCTGCTCTAAGTGCTGACTAATATTGAGAACGTCACATCTCAATATTTCCTACTGTTTTCTTTCTTAAAATCTTCCAATGTTAGAAATAAAAATGATGGCTTTCACAGTCTTTAAAACATGTGAATGTGGTTTTGTGTGTTTTTTTCCCATATGCTCAGGAGTAAAACTAAAAATAACAAACACAAGTCCAGGGGAGGCAAGACAGATTTCAAAGAAGGCAATGAGGCTCAGATAATCAGAACGTTGTTAGATGGGGTGTGCCCACTGGCTCAGGATCCCACAGGGAGAGGTTGGACATTCAGGATGTTTACGAGTAAAAGTAGAAGGTGAAAAAAGTAGAACACACAAGGCCCAGTGTCCTGACAGCCTGGCCCGAGTGCAGCCCAAAATAATTACTGCTGAAAGAGCCATTTTGCTCAAACAACTACATAATAAGTTTAAAAATAATTACAATAAATCGGCTCATTTAAAACTATTAAATTATTTGTTTATTTATTCCATCCAAGGTGGCCAGCACCCTAATAAAGAGGAATTTGTTAGTCACACCTGCAAGAAGCGCGGTGCAAGAGGGATCCTGATTTAAAGCAGGCCAAAAAAAAAAAAAGAATTAACTAGAACACCAAACAACTCGCCAGCTGCAGCGGATTCCCACAGACTTGTCTGACTTCATCTTCTCCCTGACAGGGAAACCAGGACTGAACTTGTCGGCAGGTGAGAGGAACTTGGCCAGCGCCCGGTGCAACGAGCAGCGGCCATGGAAGAGAGTGAGGTTTGGAGGTGGAAGGTGAAAGGGGGAGGAACCAGCTCCAAAACCCAGGAGATAGACACGACAAAGGTCAAAGTAGTGGGATAAGACTGCTGAGCCCCGCGTTTGCAGGAGTGGGCTCTGGTGGGGAGATGTTGGCCAGCCCCGCGGGGGCGCGACTGCTGCGACAGGTCTCCAGGTCAGTTCCGTTTGCACCTCCCTTCCCCAAACTGACAAATCGGTTTCTCCTCCCCGGCTGTGGCCTCCCCTCTTCCCGAACTGGGTGCGACGGGGTCCGGCCGTCTGCGGCCCTTACCCAGCCAGAAGTGCAGACGGTAGGTGAAACCTCGGCTCGCCTTTGCCGTGTGCAGCACCAGGTAGGCATCCCCGACGTAGAAGTCGCCGTAAACGCTCTCTGGCACTGGCACCAGCTCCAGCTTCTCGATCCTCCAAACCTGCAGCCCGGCTTGCTTGCCCGCCCGGGCGAACTCTTCGTGGTACAGCTCCTGCGCCATGGCTCCGGCACGCGATGCTCGGCAGAGAGGGTTTGGGACCTTGTCCACCCAGGAATTGGTCTGAACCAAGAACGTCCCGAGGAACCTTTCTCGCCTCAGCTTTATAGCATTCGCCTTGCGGAGAGGCGGGGCCCGAAACGGGAGGGACTAAGTGCCCAGGCAGTTGTTCCCTGTAAGGAACCCAACCCTTCCCAGCGGGAGCGCAGAGCCCGGTATCAAACTCCTACGCCCTTCCCGGGAATAAGAGGGGAATCCGAGCCTCTAAAAACTGAGATCCGGAGGGAGTTAATAGAAACTTCTAGAAATGCCTCCTCCAGGGAAGGACGTTTTCTCTGGCAACTGATGGAAGAGATTAACAATAAAAACTGGTTGGCGCATCGTTTTCAGAAAACTGGCTATTTAGATAATAATCATCCTAATCATCAACGCCATCATTTCATTGGCCAGTCTCTCCATTCTTGGGCAGAAGTTTCTCTCTGCTTTGATCTTCCCCGTTTGAATAAGTCTTGAAAAACAGCATGTCAGGTTTCTTGGAAGGATAAAACCTGGAAGGCTGGCGGTTTCATCCGCGGAAGAGAGCTCTGTAAATCCCCAGGGGTTCAGGAGCTGTGGTTAAGCTCTTTGCCGCCTGCGACCTTTGGCCAAGAGTTTCCGAAAAAGCAACAGCTGTCCTTCCGAGGTGTTCTCAGGTTGGGCTTTTGGTGGCTGTGATATTATGCTCGGCTTGCCTTGTGTGTTACCTCTTACCTGGCTTCAATGTGCTAATTTTCTCAGTTTTCTCTACCATTTTTACTTTTCCAGCAAGGACAAAGCACTGTAAAATACAGATGGAGGTTTACTCTTTATTTTGCATTCATTTAACTGAAACTGATATGGCAAAGAATTTTGCTGTTATTGAAAAAGCAAATCTCTCACGATGTATAGAGTGAGAAAGATGATTTTTTATGTATGTACAGTTAATTTCTGTCACTATTTCCCAAATTACAAGAGTCTCTGGAAATCTCTAATAATGTATGGATCTAATTTTTCCTTAATTGATTTTTTAAATATATTGCATTGACTATGGTAAAAAAAAAATATCGAAAGCACATGGTGTACAATAAAATTTATCTCCATTTCACCTGCCACTTAAGAAAAATCTAAAATTTTCCTGTTGTGTGTGTGTCATTTGTCATCGGTTGAGATCCTGATTGAGAACTACATTCTCTTTTTCTCTCCTCACCCAGACAATGAAAAGCAGATGTGTAAGGCTCATTTTACAGATGAGGAAACTGAGACATTGAAACTTGTCAGAGGTCACTCAACTGGTGAGTGATCAAAGTGGAATTCAAGCCCATTTGTGTCTAATGCAAAAGCACATGCTCTTTACAAAAACTTACTCTTTTAATCCAAATTATTTAGCCAAGATTTGTTCACATAAGTGCACTTTATATTTTCATTTTCTTCCAACTTTTTCCTAGAGAAGCTTTTGATCTAGTCTTGCATACAGCACCAAGAAGTTTAGTTTTAGCATTACCACTGAGTCAATATACATTTTGGTTTCCTCATCCATTAAGTGGAAATCGTTTGTTCTCTTCCTTTCTCTAGGGAAAAAATACGAGAACTGATATTCTGGGCTTAAGATAACTTGAAAATCATAGTTACCACAAATTCATTTTTAGGGATAATTCTTTTCCTTTTAGTGGAGGAATTCCTTTTAGGAAAGAAATAAAAATGAAAAGGAACGATTTCATTTAAGTAAAGAAATGAAGGAACTTCAGTATAGATAAGTGAAATCTCCTCGTGTTTAGGCCAGGACTAAGTGAGGCACATGCTTAGGATGCACCAGAAAACTGGGTAATCACTATCAATACTATTTTGAGGCAGTATTTTTTTTTTTAAATCAAAATTAATCTGATAAATTATGATAAAAACAGCAAAATTTTGAACAAAGGCAGAACTGTTAATAAGGCTGTATGAGATCATATTGGAGGCTGAGGCCTTAAAGGAAAAATACTAATCTTCCTTTACTTAAAATTTTGATATTTGGTTCATAATTTTGGGCATTAATTTTGACATTTCAAAACATATTACATTACAATATTATTGATCTTGAGTTTTTTTGTTTTTTTTTTTTCTTGCCACCGCCCTTAAATTTTATGCCTGAGGCATGTGCCTCATTCCTATCACACTAGCTCTGTCTTGGCTAAGAAACCTCTGGACTCAAATTTGCATCTCCCTGCAAATTTGATCCTGCCAAGGTCAGGTTCAGCATGCTCAAAACAATCTCAGCATTGCCTCCACACATGCTTCTCCTAGTCTTCCTACTACAAACAGCATGATTTAATTTAGACTCAGCACTCTCATTTTATCTCCATGTTCATTCAACTAAGATGTCCAAAATGTTTCTCAAATCCATCCCAGCTGCCATTCCCGTTATTTCTCTGATTCCCATCTTCAGGAGAGACATGCATTGGAGTGAAATGGCCTAGTTTACAGTACAGCCTTGACCTAGGTTGAATCCTAGGCACTATACTTTTCAGCTGATTGAGTGTGAACAATTTACCAAACATTATTGTGTCTCATTTTTTTTTTTTAAATTGTGGAATGGGAACTGATAGAAATTACCTCATAGGACTGTTGTATTAACTAAGTAAATAAATATAAACCTGAAATGGTGCCTGTATATACTAAGTGACAATAAACAACGGAAATTGATGAGTGGTTAATTCACTTCTTCAAATCTAATTGTGTAAGAATAATGTTTCTAAGTCTAGTTCAATTAAGAATTGCTTATTTCCTATTTAAAAAAAAAGTCTGTAAAGCTGGATGCCAATTTCCTTTCTATGCCTTTTTTCTCTCTTTCATCTCCTAGGTTCTTATAAATAGATCATTTTCTTTCCTTCATATTATTACCTTTCTTCCATTATCTATCTGTTGAAGTTTTACCAATTCTTTAAGGTTTAACTAAAGATACATATCTTTATCATCGTTATTCCCCTGGCTTCACTAAATTTCAGCATCTTCTGTGCTCCCAGTGCTTTTGATATGCTCTTGCTTTATAGCAATTATCACACTCTGATCTGTGTTTTCTCTCACAAGCTGGTAGGCTGACTCAGAGACTTCTGTCTAATTGTTTTATTCCCTAGCTTTATGGTAATACATGTTGAAAAGATGTGGTTAAATAGTTGATTTTGTATTAAATTACATTAAAACAATCAATTTACCAATCTTCTCTCAGTCCAGGTAGAAATAGCCAAGGTGAATAAGTCTTTTCCCATGAGTCAGGAGGTTTGAGGTGTGGGGCCTGTGGTTGAATTCAAGGTAGATGTTCTTCTAAGATGTGAAGGGAACCAAAATTTTGCCCCTCTGAAGTTGCCTTTTGGGGATATTGATTTTAACCTGTTTATTAAGAAAGAAGACTCAGAAGGAAACTGACCCACTGCCCTTTTCTGCAGAAGAGACTCAGACAGAAAAATCTGCTTCAGGAAGGAAATTTTAGAATATTGACTTTAGCCTAATTTAAATTAAGTATGGTAAATAAGAAGGCTTCAGGCAGGCAGCCTGTTAACTATATACCCTCTGTGTCCCATTGATTCTGGGTAGCCTAGCAAGAGTTTGCCTGCCATGTATGTTCTGCTCTTTTTCAATTACCTGCAAGTTGTCCATTTCACCTCTAAAATCTGACACGATTCCCCACTCCTCCTTTGCCCAAATGTCATATATAGCCAACGTTGCCTCACGGTCTTTGGAATTCTTATGCTTATCTGAATTCCCCGTGTGCACTTATTAAAAATTTGATTTTCTCCTATTAATCTGTCTCTGTTAATTTGATTATTAGCCCAGCTTTAAGAACTTAGCAGGTAGAAGGAGAAGTATTATTATTAATTTTTTAGCCACCACATTCTGCTAACTTATATTTGATTTGCGAAATGATTTGAAGGTTTAAGCATGGAACCTGGAATCAGAAGACTTGAGTGCTTTGAGGATTAAAAGATTTAATGTATGTCAAAGCCCTTGGGAACACAATCAATAATCAGCAGGGGCCCTTAGCCCCAGTACTTATCAAAGCTAAGTGATGATTAAAAGTGAAAATACACTCTAAGGAAGTGTATTTTCATCCTTCCTGTCCCTACTGGACAAATAACACTTATTTTTTTAAATTCACCCATTGTTTTAAAAAGCTTCAATCAAGGTCTAGAACTGTCTCTTTCACTAAAGAGAACGTTATTTTAAAATTACACATACTATAAGTGTAAAGGCATTGTCCCATATATGAGTGAAATCATATGGTTCTCAACTTTTTCTGTCTGATTTATTTTTGCTTAGCACAATAATCTCAAGATTCATCTATGTTGTTGCAAATGACAGTATTTTAGCTTTTCTTGTGATTAATATGTGGGATAGAAAACTGAAAGCAACAAATGAACAAGAAAAACAAACAAAAACCCATAGACACAGACAACAGTTAAGTGGTTACCAGAGGGAAAGCAGAGAGGTAGAAAAGGGTAACAGGGGTCGAATATATGGTGATGGAAGGAGATTAGAATTGTATATTGTATTGTGAACACACAATGCAATATACAGATGAATTATTACAGAATTGTACATTAAAACCTATATAATTTTATTAATGTCACCAATATAAATTTAATAAAAAATTAAAACTGTGAAAAATTAAAATATATGTATTAATTTATTAAAATAAACCTA